GTATGTGCCTCTAACTGTCCTCAACCTTATACAGGTGTATGTGCCTCTCACTGTCCTCAACCTTATACAGGTTTATGTGCCTCTCACTGTCCTCAACCCTATACAGGTGTATGTGCCTCTCACTGTCCTCAACCTTATACAGGTGTATGTCCCTCTCACATGTCCTCAACCTTATACAGGTGTATGTGCCTCTCACTGTTCTCAACCTTATACAGGTGTATGTGCCTCTCACTGTCCTCAACCCTATACAGGTGTATGTGCATCTCACTGTCCTCAACCTTATACAGGTGTATGTGCCCCTCACTGTCCTCAACGTTTTACAGGTGTATGTGCCTCTCACTGTCTTCAACCTTATACAGGTGTATGTGCCTCTCACTGTCCTCAACCTTATACAGGTGTATGTGCCTCTCACTGTCCTCAACCTTATACAGGTGTATGTGCCTCCCACTGTCCTCAACCTTATACAGGTGTATGTGCCTCTCACTGTCCTCAACCTTATACTGGTGTATGTGCCTCTCACTGTCCTCAACCTTATACAGGTGTATGTGCCTCTCACTGTCCTCAACCTTATACAGGTGTATGTGCCTCTCACTGTCCTCAACCTTATACAGGTGTATGTGCCTCTCACTGTCCTCAACCTTATACAGGTGTATGTGCCTCTCACTGTCCTCAACCCTATACTGGTGTATGTGCCTCTCACTGTCCTCAACCCTATACATGTGTAAGTGCCTCTCACTGTTCTCAACCTTATACAGGTGTATGTGCCTCTCACTGTCCTCAACCTTATACAGGTGTATGTGCCTCTCACTGTCCTCAACCTTATACAGGTGTATGTGCCTCTCACTGTTCTCAACCTTATACAGGTGTATGTGCCTCTCACTGTCCTCAACCTTATACAGGTGTATGTGCCTCTCACTGTCCTCAACCTTATACAGGTGTATGTGCCTCTCACTGTCCTCAACCCTATACAGGTGTATGTGCCTCTCACTGTCCTCAACCTTATACATGTGTATGTGCCTCTCACTGTTCTCAACCTTATACAGGTGTATGTGCCTCTCACTGTCCTCAACCTTATACAGGTGTATGTGCCTCTCACTGTCCTTATCCTTATACAGGTGTATGTGCCTCTCACTGTCCTCAACCTTATACAGGTGTATGTGCCTCTCACTGTCCTCAACCTTATACAGGTGTATGTGCCTCTCACTGTCCTCAACCTTATACAGGTGTATGTGCCTCTCACTGTCCTCAACCTTATACAGGTGTATATGCCTCTCACTATCCTCAACCTTATACAGGTGTGTGTGCCTCTCACTGTCCTCAACCTTATACAGGTGTATGTGCCTCTCACTGTCCTCAACCTTATACAGTTGTATGTGCCTCTCACTGTCCTCAACCTTATACAGGTGTATGTGCCTCTCACTGTCCTCAACATTATACAGGTTTATGTGACTCTCACTGTCCTCAACCTTATACATGTGTATGTCCCTCTCACTGTCCTCAACCTTATACAGGTGTATGTGCCTCTCATTGTCCCCAACTTTATACAGGTTTATGTGCCTCTCACTGTCCTCAACCTTATACAGGTGTATGTGCCTCTCACTGTCCTCAACCTTATACAGGTGTATGTGCCTCTCACTGTCCTCAACCTTATACATGTGTATGTGCCTCTCACTGTCCTCAACCTTATACTGGTGTATGTGCCTCTCACTGTCCTCAACCTTATACAGGTGTATGTGCCTCTCACTGTTCTCAACCTTATACAGGTGTATGTGCCTCTCACTGTCCTCAACCCTATACAGGTGTATGTGCCTCTCATTGTCCTCAACCTTATACAGGTGTATGTGCCTCTAACTGTCCTCAACCTTATACAGGTGTATGTGCCTCTCACTGTCCTCAACCTTATACAGGTTTATGTGCCTCTCACTGTCCTCAACCCTATACAGGTGTATGTGCCTCTCACTGTCCTCAACCTTATACAGGTGTATGTCCCTCTCACATGTCCTCAACCTTATACAGGTGTATGTGCCTCTCACTGTTCTCAACCTTATACAGGTGTATGTGCCTCTCACTGTCCTCAACCCTATACAGGTGTATGTGCATCTCACTGTCCTCAACCTTATACAGGTGTATGTGCCTCCCACTGTCCTCAACCTTATACAGGTGTATGTGCCTCTCACTGTCCTCAACCTTATACTGGTGTATGTGCCTCTCACTGTCCTCAACCTTATACAGGTGTATGTGCCTCTCACTGTCCTCAACCTTATACTGGTGTATGTGCCTCTCACTGTCCTCAACCTTATACAGGTGTATGTGCCTCTCACTGTCCTCAACCTTATACAGGTGTATGTGCCTCTCACTGTCCTCAATCCTATACAGGTATATGTGCCTCTCACTGTCCTTAACCTTATACAGGTGTATGTGCCTCTCACTGTCTTCAACCTTATACAGGTGTATGTGCCTCTCACTGTCCTCAACCTTATACAGGTGTATGTGCCTCTCACTGTCCTCAACCTTATACATGTGTATGTGCCTCTCACTGTCCTCAACATTATACAGGTGTATGTGCCTCTCACTGTCCTCAACCTTATACAGGAGTATGTGCCTCTCACTGTCGTTAGCGTCATACAGGTGTTGGCGGGTGTCAGTGTCCTCAACCTTATACAGCATGTAGAGCCGTTTCACTGTCGTGTGCACCATACAGGGGGAGAAGCATCGCACAGTCGTCTACGGAGAAAAGGTGGAATCAGGTGCCATTGTCCTCTCCGCTGTGCAAGTGTAGGGAAGGGTCATTGTCCTCAACCTTTTACATGTGTATGTGCCTCTCGAAAGGTCAACCTTATACAAGGTGTATTAACTTGGGTAACTCCTGGGTTTTTATACAGGTGGACGTGCTTATCAGAGTCCTCAACAATATAAAGGTGTATCAGCATAGGGCGATCTTCAGCCTGGTACCCGGGGATCCCCCTCTCACTGTCCTCAACCTTATACAGGTGTATGTGCCTCTCACTGTCCTCAACCTTATACAGGTGTATGTGCCTCTCACTGTCCTCAACCTTATACAGGTGTATGTGCCTCTCACTGTCCTCAACCTTATACAGGTGTATGTGCCTCTCACTGTCCTCAACCCTATACAGGTGTATGTGCCTCTCACTGTCCTCAACCTTATACAGGTGTATGTGCCTCTCACTGTCCTCAACCTTATACAGGTGTATGTGCCTCTCACTGTCCTCAACCTTATACAGGTGTATGTGCCTCTCACTGTCCTCAACCCTATACAGGTGTATGTGCCTCTCACTGTCCTCAACCTTATACAGGTGTATGTGCCTCTCACTGTCCTCAACCTTATACAGGTGTATGTGCCTCTCACTGTCCTCAACCTTATACAGGTGTATGTGCCTCTCACTGTCCTCAACCTTATACAGGTGTATGTGCCTCTCACTGTCCTCAACCCTATACAGGTGTGCCTGCCTCTCACTGTCCTCAACCTTATACAGGTGTATGTGCCTCTCACTGTCCTTATCCTTATACAGGTGTATGTGCCTCTCACTGTCCTCAACCTTATTCAGGTGTATGTGCCTCTCACTGTCCTCAACCTTATACAGGTGTATGTGCCTCTCACTGTCCTCAACCTTATACAGGTGTATGTGCCTCTTACTGTCCTCAACCTTATACAGGTGTATGTGCCTCTCACTGTCCTCAACCTTATACAGGTGTATGTGCCTCTCACTGTCCTCAACCCTATACATGTGTATGTGCCTCTCAC